TTAGAAAAGTATTGCTATGATAACTGAATAGAACTATTTTGCTTCCTGCCCAATCCAATGCAAACCAGTCAATGTACCTATTTTGTAAAAGTATCTAAAAGCTAATTATAGTTTTCCACTGAGCATGAGAATTTAAAAATTGCTTTGCTACATGGCATGTCCATTTTGCCAGACACTAATTTTCGAGCATCTATCTTAACAGAACTGCAGCCCTGTAGAGAACATGAGTCCATACCCAAAGAGGAAACTCCAATGCAAAAGCTTCTTAATAAAAATTAAGATATTAAAGTTGGAAAGATTAAAATGAAGTGAATTCAGGAAGGCATTTTATTATGAAAATAATTACTCCAAAAGCCCATAGTAAACTGTGGAAACATCTATTCAAGGTATGTAACAGGCATGCCCTCCTCAAAACAGCTGTTTAGTCTTATATTCAGATTTTGAGAAAACTTTTAAGTCTACAACACAATGATTTTAAAAATATTTTAGGATGAAACTGTAATCACTTTATTCCCAAGTTAGAATTACAAAAAGAAATACATGCAGAAATGTGTTTAAGAAATTAAATTTACATGATTTTATATCTAGTAAGCAGTCTTATCCTCACTATTAAGACTATTATGAAATTGCTGCCCAATGTCCCTCAAACAGGAAGACAAGGAAAAAGAATAGATAGGGTGGCCAGTGCACAGACACAAAAAAGTTGTTTAATGGTCTTGAGATTTCTTTTTGTTGTTCAAAAAGCAAAACAGTATTATATTAATAGGATGAGGCTGGGTGGGAAATAATTTTAAAAGGTCAAATATTAAGACTTTAAAAATGAAAAGCATTATTTGTTAAATGTAAATTTGCTTAAAGTGCACCTCCTATTTTCAATAGGTAATAATCAGACTGAATCTAAAACTTTCATTAAACTATAAATACTTAACTGCCAATTTTTCCTGAGAGGTCACTCAAAAAACTTGTGAAGTTATAGTATTAGGTAGCAAGGCAAATATAATTCTTACAAGAGTAAAACAATAACCTAAGTTTATGGTCCTTTCAAATTACTGAAAATAATTGCTTACACAAGATTTGGAAATATATAATGGAGTAGAAAAACCAAGTACAGTTATCCTTTAATCTTAGTGTGTCACTATTAGCAGTAAAGTATCAGTATGAGAGTATAATTTTCATCAGAAACATTTTTATTTTTTATGTCCAACTCTGACCCCAGTTTCTTCTTTTGCTTTTCCCTTTAGACTATTGCTGCTTCCAGTCTGCTTTATCTCCAATATGAAACTGGACAGATTTCCGTGGATGAGAATACAGTAACAAGAAAAGCTCAAGTTAAATGTTATCCCAACTGGGCTCTTTGTAGAATGTAATTTGTACATATAAGTCAGCTATCTACAAATTACTGACCCTCCATGCTCCAGTAGTGGTGGATAAAAAAACTCATGGAAAACTCTAATATAATCCTAAAGAAAGACTGAGCTTTAGAGAAAAGGAATAATATAAAAAACAGTCAATCTACTAGCCTTCCAAAGAGAAGTCATGCAACTGTGAACATGTCAACCAACTGTAATTAACATTCCAGCCAAATCACACAAAATAAAAAATCTAATTTAAGAGCTGTAGTGGAAAGCCACATCAGCCCACCTTTGAACAGTACATATCAATTCTTAAAGGTATATTTGTAAATAAATAGGTTTGGTGATAAAATACAGTTTTGCACAATATATACACAATGCTACTTTTAAAATTATTTTACTTTTGACATCTCCAGAATATTTCAGTATTTAACATGCAAGACATTTTAAACACAAGATTTTATATCAAGTAACCTTCACACTTAGCACTAAACTTATAATTCCAAAATTATCTTTCTTAAGAACAAAAATAAAATTAGAAATTTGTTGTTTTTTCTTGCCCAGATTTAAAAAAAAATCATTACTAATTATATTAAGCTTTAATTGGCCAAACCACAATTACATGCATTACCACAGAACAAAAACCATGTAATAGCATCAGTTTTGCCCAAAGATCACTCATGATACCTAAAAAGGTTTTATATCCCAGGTACAAGATAGCCTACTGTACTAATGTCTAGAATTTCCTGGGGAGTCAATGGGCAACAAACCAAAACACAGCCTCTCCAAGTTATGACTATTGAAACCTTTATAATACAGAAATAAAATGTAAAAGTTTTACCATTCTTCCCGCTGTGCCGTCGCTGCTTCAGAGTGTCGTGGGGAGGAGTTTGAATGGCTAGGGAATTAACAACCGGTACAGCAACCAATCAAAATTCTAGTTTTAGTTTTTGACATTGTTAGGGTTAAAAACTTTAATTAATTTACACTTCAGTTCAACAGTAGATAACTACAAAGGCAGCTACTTTGTGATTTGAAAAATCAAGGTTAACAGGAAGCCTGCCCCAAACAGCAAGTTATACAATTACTCATTTTGGTACCTCTGCCCAAATAACAGAATTCAGAAAACCAAAACCAAAATAGTAAGGCTTAAGTTTCCAAATATTTAACATATCCCTTTCTTAAATTAAGCTATACATTATTCAAGATTAATTAAGAAAAGCTAGTTTCCTATCCCACCTCCAGTCTCCCAGTCAGCAGTCAGCAAACAGCCGGACAAGTCTGTCTGGGCTTAGATTAAATCCTGTACTCCACAGTGCTTCTCTCTCCTCCCTCCAAATCTTGTGCTCTTTCCCAACTGCTTTTACCTTCCAACACTTTTCCCCTTGTTATAATGAAATAAGTTCTCACACACACACTACAAAAAGGATTGGAAGCTTAACCCAAGATCGGTAGTAACAGGAGTTAAGAAAACCCAACCAAGAACCCCGATTTAGTCCCTCCTGCTAACTCCCGCTCCCAAATGCTGCATTTTAATATCTATTAAGTGCAGCTTTAAGTAAGGTGCACAACCATTTCCAATGGGAGGTAGCAAGTTACTATTTAAAAACCTGCAAAACAAAAAAGTTATGCCATAGCATAAGACAGGATTTGTTCATTTTTTAAAAGGCTGGCGGGCCTCCTGTAACAGTGGGTAAGAGCAGGAAGGAGAAATCAAGAGAGACCAAAAAAGGATCCTGGGCCCCGGGTGGTGAAAAAAGGATTTTGTAAAAAAAAAAAAAAATGGAAATGGCACAGAAAAAGTAAAGTGGGTAAGAGTACCATCCGTAGGAACCATGGGGGAACCCAGCAGCTGAGAGCGAGAGAAGGGTGCGTGGTGAGTGCAGCTCGGCCGGTGGGGGCAGGGCAGCCCGCAGCCCGAGGCTGAACAGTTCCCGTCCAGGGCCGGCCCCGCCGACCGGGAACTGACCCAGAGCCCGTGGGGCAGAACCAAGACACCCACAGGCGAGGCGATTCGGGGACTTTCGCCTCGTCCGATCTGTCCCCTAGGCTGAAAAATAGGGGCTAGGGTAAGCAAGCCGTTGTGCGATAGTGTACAGTAAAAAAGCGAAGAGATCGAGGCGAAACTTATTCAAAATTACTAAAAAATAAATAAATAAAAATCGGCCTGAAGCCGAAACGGGAGCACAGGTGGAAGCCTACACGTTCCCCCAAGCATGTACTTTATAAAACAATCGCATCGTCTCGGGATGCTGGAGTGAGTCGCCCCAAATAAACCTTAGTTGCATAAAGGCTTGGTATCTGTTTGCGTTTTTTATGCCCTGGGACTTCAGAAACGGGGAGCAGTCAAGACTGGGGGTGGGGGGGGAAGGTGCCCTCGACAGGCGGGAAAAAATCCTGGCGGCTAAGTCGGTGGGAGGAGACGCAGGGCAAGGGAGGGAATAAGGGCGGGCCGCGGAGCAGCGTGGTGATGGCTAAAGGTGGAAACGTGTGTGATGGGGGAGGGGGCGGCGGGCAGGCAAGGGGCGAAG